CGTTACCTTGACACGTGAATTTGCGGTGTATTCGTTCCCGTGACTTGAACATTTCTAACTCGTACCCGTGTTGTTGTTTTTTTTTTGCAATCTGCGTGCAACATGGGTTTCTGTGACACCCGAGTTTGTGGCGGGTCCTTGCGTGTAAGGTCACTAGATCTGGGAAAGTAATGCTATTGCCTTCCCAACTGTTGACCAGACACAGATACCAGCATACAGACGACAAAACCTCAAGGTGATTGACTCATTGCTGTTGGTTGCCATGGTGATTGCCACTTTGGACCCTTGCAAAGCTTTGAAGCTTCAAAAGGGCCGTTAAAACCAGTTGCACCAAGATCGCTATGGAGCATCATCGACTGAAAGCGTTCCTCGGTCAACATGAGCGTCTTTGGCACCGTGCATACAGTAAACTTATCACTCATGCTTATTTCTCCAGATCTCTTACAATTGTGTTGCTCTTCTTGAGTGTTTCAAGAGAGTAAAATTATTTTTCAATGCCCCAAAGCATCGAACCTGTGTGTGACGCCGTACATGTTCGTAGTGCCATCACACACAGGTTCGATGCTTTGGGGCATTGAAAAATAATTTTACTGTCTTGAAACACTCAAGAAGAGCAACACAATTGTAAGAGATCTGGGGAAATAAGCATCAGTAATAAGGGTATTGTATACACAGTGCCAAAGAGGCTCATATTGGCCGAGGAGCGCTTTCAGTCGATGATGCTCCATGGCAATCTTGGTGCAACTGGTTTTAACGGCCCTTTCGAAGCTTCAAAGCTTTGAAAGGGACCAAAGTGGCTATCACCATGGCAACCAACAGCAATGAGCCAATCACCTTGAGAGGATTAAGATGGCAATTTGGGCCAGTTGGTTCATGATCGAAGATAGGCGCCAAAAAAACAAGGACGAGAAAGACGTAAACGCTGGCACACTTGAACTAACATTTATTGAAAAAACGAATTCCTTATATAGCCTTGAAAAAAAAACCTTTGTCACGACTAGGCACGGTGTAGACCTGTTTCTAGAAAATCAAATTCTTTTGTCGATGAGATTATTGACCTATCACTTGTACACGTCTTGCCCTTAGCTTTGATTTCAAAAGCCTCCTGGAGCTCCCTGGATATCTTATCTGGGTGTCTGGCCAGAAATGTTGTCTTTAAATGACAGGACAAATGACATCATTTACAGACACATTTCTGGCCAGATACCCAGATAAGATGTCCAGGGAGCTCCAGGAGGCTTTTGAAATCAAAGCTAAGGGCAAGATGTGCACAAGTGACACGTCAATAACCTCATCGACAATAGAATTTGATTTTCTAGAAACGGGTCAACACTCTGCCTAGTCGTGACGAAGGTTGTTTTTTTTTTTCAAAGTTATATAAGTGATTTGTTTACGTCTCCTCTCGTCATTGTTTTTCGGCGCCTTTTGTCGTCTGTACGTTCGTGTCTGGCTGGCAGGTGGGAAGGCAATGGCGCTACTTTCCCAGATCCAGTGACTTTATTGCGTGTATATCGCACTGTGAAGTGCGAATGAGCTGAGTCTGCGTTCTGCCATACCCGTGTCAGGGGAGTTCATAGCGAATTCCCGCATACTTGTCGCACACACAAGTTCGCCGTGACTGTTGTCTACTATTCGTGGTATCATTAATAAGAAGACAGTGAGTGTACAGGTCAGCTGATGGTTGTTAGTCATGATGCTTGAAACCAACTGTGGTGAGAAAAAATAAATACGAAACTTTGAAGTCAAAGTGTTTGTTTCACGTAACTTGTAGCCCCCTCCCCCCCCCCTTCCCCCTTTTTTCACTTATCTTCATTTATTTCCATTTATCTTCATTTGGGATGGCAGTTTTTTCAGGACTATGATATATAAGCGTACCTAAGAGCCTGCTGGCATGTGTTGACCTGTCATCTAATCTCTGGGGAAAGTGATAACTACTTTGCAAAATTCAACAGACATTTGACATACTTTTTTTTCAGTTCTTTCCGCATGTTGCTGAGACCGCTTCCGCGCTTCTGCTTCGTGCTGTAAACGTAACAGTAACAGGGAACACAAACAGCAAGCCGACGGGAGGACAAGGAAAACAGTGGGAATGTCCTGGTGAGTGACGCAAACTCTAAACCGTTGTGCTAGAAAGCATCCAAGCAATTGACTTATTAGAAAAACCTTCCATTTGATGGTCTTACTTGCTAGTTTTTTTTTTTTTATCAAACTCCTAAACAAGCCTTTTTTTTTTATTCAAGTCAGTCATGCCTGTTCCAGTAAGGGGTAATTAAACGTGTGTGTGAGCAAGGATGGTATCATAAATTTTTCCCATATTTTGCATTTGTCCTTTTATCAGATAGGGTAGATTTGTACTCGGTTGAGTATTGGAATATTTTTATGTCGCTAAATAGAGACTTCGAACGTTTGTATTTTCTAATAATGAAAACTAGTCAGCAAGTTTTGGGCTTTATTTCGGGTGCCACGCTATTGCATCTTGAAATGGTTTTGTTTTAAACTTATGAAATGTGTGATTTCAGTATGCACAACGTTTTGTTTTCATGAGGGTTAAGTTGCACCTGTTTCGTTGACTGCCTTCTATTGTAAATTCATAAGAGGAAGCAGCCCGTTACCAGGACAGTTGTCAGCAGATGCCATGCAGATAAATTGTAATTATGCTGTTCGCTTTTTATGCTATGGGCTGGAATATATCTAAGGAAAGGGTATGTTTGGAAATCGTTCTGGAGCATCACATGATGCTTTTTCATTGTGATATATATATATATATATTTGTATTTAGAAAAACACATTGGAGCTTAGAGCCCAAAGTTTGACCTGGGTGATCAGCTCATACTGCTACAAAACACGAATTTTATTGCTCCTAGGCTGCTCCAAAGCAGACCTTCTACTGCCCCAAAGCTGCTACAAAGGGGCATCTTCGCTGCTCCTAGACCTGCTACAAAAGGATGAAACTTGCTTCCATCGCTGTATATGGGTGTTGGTCTTTGTATTTAGGTTTGGGTGTAGGATCAGAAGTTGCACAAAAGATAACCTTTTTTAAGTGCAGGGTTAGCTCCAGTCGGGAAGGTTTTTGTTGGTTGAGGTGGCATCCCTTTGTTTGGTTCTGGTTGTACCTTTTTGTGTCTTGGTATATTCTGTCCTCACAAAAGGCAAGTTCTAATTAAAATAAGAGCACCAACTTGACACAACAGAAAAAACAATTTCGTTAGATGTTTCGCCTCCCATGCGGGATGCATCTTCAGTAGTTACAAAGCAAATGCAAGGTTCAACCTCGAGTCGACGCTATTTATTGAGCCTTGCATTTGCTTTGTAACTACTGAAGATGCATCCCGCATGGAAGGCAAAACGTCTAATGAAATTGTTTCTTCTGTTGTGTCAAGTTGGTGCTCTTATTTTAATTATGATGTCCCCCGGCTTTTGGGGTATGTTTGCATAGGGCAAGTTGTATGGTTGGTGACCTTGTGGCTGTGTTAGACCGTTTTCAAAAGGCCGCCGACATCTTATATTTCGTCACTTCCGGTATGGGCAAAAACATTGCTTTGCTGTCGGCACTCCTATACAACACAATCGGGATATAAGCGTAACCGTCGCACAATCTCGTTCTGCGTCCCCGCTATCTTTTTTTTTTTTTTATTTACAAGTTGAAAATTTTTATTATTTCTTTGTCGCTTTGTCACGGGTGTGGAGCTGGGAAGAAAAGAAGAAAAAGAAGAGAAGAGAAGAAGAAGAGGATCGCGAGAAACGAAGGGCACGTGCGGGAGTTCTGACCCGTCGCTTGTTGAAGCCGGCAACGCTCCGGCTATTGAAGCTTCACAGAAACCGGCCCCGCTCCGGTTCCTGAGACCCCGGCCACGCTCCAGCTTCTGAAGCCTCACCGAAACCGGCCCCGCTCCGGTTCCCGAGAACCCGGCCACGCTCCGGCTCCTGAAGCCTCACCGTAACCGGCCCCGCTCCGGTTCCTGAGAGCCCAGCAACGCTCCGGTTCCTGAGAGCCCAGAAACGCTACAGTTCCTCAAGCCACGAAGAACCCGGCAACGCTCCGATTCCTGAGGCCACGACGAGCCCCGCCACGCTCCTGAAGCCCCGCCACGTCAGGCGTGAGTCGAGCTTTTGTGGGGACTTGACCACGGGGACTCCGGTCTGCTTTGAACTTTTCCTTTTCTTTCTTTATTGTTGATAACTACCTCCTGATTTCCTTTCATTATATTATTACGTATGTACATGCCTTTGTCTCACCTGGTCTTGTCTCAATCATTTCGCGTGTCGAACCGGGCGAACGTGACAATTGTGGCGAGCCTGCCAGGATCCCATTTACCATCAGTTTAATTGAATCACTTCGTCCGGGACACACACGAATTGCTAGAGTCAAAAAGACTAGCATGGAGAACGAGAAATTAATGGCGGTGGGAAAGGAGTTGGGTTATCAGGGTGATGAGTTGAAGAAATGGATGGAGGACGAAAAAGCTAGACTACGAGAAGAAAGAGCGTGGGCGCGACAGGAACGCGAGGAGGAATGTGTCCGGTTGGACAAAGAACGCGAAGTTCTGCAACTTCGGTTGGCAGTACAAAGCGCAGGGGCGCCACGTCAGGATGCAATCGGAGGTATAGGTGAAGGAGAGGCTACTAACTTGGCCGCGACAACCGGCGAGGCGCGACACTTTAGCCCTCATAAGTTAATTCCTCAGTTCGAAGAAGGAAGGGATGATTTAGATGCATATTTGCTACGCTTTGAACGTACTGCAACGGGAATGGGTTGGCCTCAGCAGAAATGGGCGACGACTCTGAGTTTGTGCCTCACTGGTGAAGCATTGACGGTAGTGGGTCGGTTGTCGCCAGAAGACGCACTGGACTATGCGAGAGTGAAGCTGGCACTGCTTCAAAGGTTTCGCTACACTAAAGAAGGGTATAGAGAACGGTTTAGGGATGCAAGGCCCGAAGAGGGAGAGACGAAGAGACAGTTTGCCGCCCGTCTCGCTGGATATTTTGACAGGTGGGTTGAGATGGCCAATATTCAACACACGTTTGAAGCCCTCCGTGACAAGGTCTTGGTCGAGCAGTTTCTGCTCACTTGCTCCACTAAGTTGACTATTTTTCTCCGAGAGAGAGAATGCCAAAGCTTGCAAGAAGTTGCGTCAAAGGCGGACCTTTTCCTAGAGGCTCAGGCCCAGCCTACTACGAGTAAGTCGAAAATCGACGAGACGAATAAGCAGTCTAGTGTGGCGTTAGCAGATAAGTCTAAAACAGGAGGGGGCAGGAAAGCTTTGCGTTGCTTTTTATGCAACAAAATTGGGCACAAGGCGGAAAACTGTCATGGACGTCCGCCGGCCTCCAAAGGAATTACTTGCTGGCAATGCGGGAAAACTGGACACCGTGCAGATAGCTGCAGGTCAAAGCCTAACGACAATCATCAGGCGTCATGTCTTTGGACGAAGTCAAGAAACGGAGAGGTGACCGAGCCCGAAGATGGCTTTGTTACCCTCAAGAATGGTGACAAGATTCCGGTTGTCAACTCGGCAATAGGACATCCTCCCAAGTTTCTAGTGGAGAATCTTCCAGTTCTAGAGGGAGATATGGGTGGCCACAAAATAACTGTCCTCAGGGACACGGGCTGCAACACCGTCGTTGTTCGCCAAAGCTTGGTTCCGAAGGAAGCGTACACGGGAATATTGAGCCCGGTGTTTCTACTGGACAGAACAGTAAGGCACCTTCCCGAGGCCGAGATTATGGTTAGGACACCATACTACACGGGAAAGTTAATAGCGAAGTGTGTAAACGACCCTCTGTACGATCTGGTGTTGGGAAATGTGCCGCTTGTACGAGATGCCAATGACCCCGATCCAAACTGGAGTTTGAATGTGAAAACGAGGGAAGCTCATGTGTTGGCGACAGAGCCAGCCGATGAACAGAAGACCGGGACGGAAGGCGTCCTGGCGAAAGAGACACATGTAGAGTCTCTAGAACGCTCTGCTGACGAATGTTTACTCGAACGGGGCGATAAAGAGTTCATGGGCACCGCGGGGGCTGTGATGAGCAAGAAACCTACATGTCGACCCCCGCCATCGCCTCCCGAACTGCGAGTACCTGAGGTACCACTGCTTCAAACAACTAAAGAGGAGCTCATCCAGGAGCAAAAGAATGACGAAACCCTGAAGAAATGTTTCCACGACGTTGGGAAAGTAACCAAGAAGCACAGGGGCAGAACGAAGTACGAGTTTTTCATTAGGAATGAGCTGTTGTACAGGAGCTGTACATACAGTTCCGGAAGAAAGACCGATCAGTTGGTTCTCCCGAAAACGTTTCGGCGAACTGTCACCGGGATGGCACATGACGGAATAATGTCAGGCCACCAGGGCGTGAGCAACACAATAGCATTAGTGTCTGAAGAGTTCTTTTGGCCGGGTGTCCAAAGCGACATTAAGAGGTACGTGCGGTCGTGTGACATTTGCCAACGGACGGTCCCCAAAGGGAGAGTAGGCAAGGCCCCCTTAGGTACCATGCCGACGATTGTAACTCCCTTTCAGAGGGTGGCCATTGACATCATTGGTCCGATTGCTCCCAAATCAGACTCGGGGAACCGATACATCTTAACCATGGTGGATGTGGCTACTCGATCCCCCGACGCGGTAGCCTTGAAAACCATCGGAACTCCGGTAGTAGCGGAAGCTTTAGTTGACATGTTTACGCGATACGGCGTACCGAGAGAGGTCCTTAGTGACCGTGGTAGCGCGTTTACTTCCGACCTGATGAAGGAGGTGGGTCGCCTGCTGTCAGTGAGACGCCTTTTGACTACTCCCTATCATCCCATGAGCAACGGGTTGGTAGAGAAATTCAATGGAACTTTAAAGTTGATGCTACGTAGAATGTGTCAGGAGAGGCCCAATAATTGGGACCGGTACCTGCCAGCGCTGTTGTTCGCTTACCGGGAGGTACCCCAGTCCAGTTTGAGATTCTCTCCATTTGAGTTGTTATATGGGAGAACGGTACGGGGGCCATTAACTATACTGAGAGAAGTGTGGTCCAACGAGGCGTTGAACGAGGAAACAAAAACGTCGTACAGCTACGTCATGGAACTGAGAGACAAACTGGAGGAGACCTGCAAACTGGCACACCAATGCTTGGATGAAGCCAAGTTAAAATACAAGGCGTATTATGATCGGAAGAAAGTCAACTGAGAAATGAAGGTAGGGAATAAAGCACTAATCCTCCTTCCAAGCGACAATAACAAGTTGCTCATGCAATGGAAGGGTCCCTTCATCGTCACGGCACGAAGAAATGAAGTTGACTATGAGCTGGAGATTGCCGGAACGTGAAAAGCCTTCCATGTAAATATGCTCAAAAAATATGAAGAGAGGACCGAAATGGACCCGGCGGCACCGAGGTGCAGCGCGGCAACAGCAACTGACGATGACAACAAAAACGACGAGGAAGACGCCATAGACGATGTCCCGACTCTGTCCCTGACACGACAACAAAACGGGCAAGACGTACTGGTGAATACGGCCTTGAGTACAGAGGAGAAGAAACAAGTTGCGACTTTGATTGGAGAATTCGAAGAAATCTTCTCTGATCTACCCGGAAAAACAAACTTGATTGAGTGCGATCTGAAGCTGACAACTGAGGCACCGGTGCATGTTAAACAGTACCCTCTGCCGATAAAGGTACACGAAACAGTGGAAAAGGAAATAACAGAGATGTTGCGGCTGGGTGTGATCGAGAGATCAACATCACCATTCAACGCGCCTATAGTATTAGTGAAGAAGTCGGATGGGTCCAGCAGATTTTGCGTTGACTTTAGGCGGCTAAATGACGTGTTGGTAGCCGATGCCGAGCCCAATCCCAGGGTAGATGTCACGTTTGCTAAAGTGGGATGTAAACGTTTCTTCACAAAGTTAGACTTAGCCAAAGGGTATTGGCAGATCCCCATGACAGAATCATCGAAGCATAAAACAGCGTTCTCAGCTTCGAGCGGTTTTTATCATTTCAAATTCATGCCGTTCGGCTTAAAGACAGCTTCCGCGACTTTCACGAAGCTGATCCGGATCCTACTAAGAGGCATACCGAATGCACAACACTATATCGATGATGTTCTGGTGGCAACGGACTCGTGGGAGGAGCACATAGATGCACTAAAGGCTATATTCGGAAGGCTGCGCGATGCGGGGATCACAGTCAAGCCAAAAAAGTGTGAAATTGGATTTCACGAAATCAGCTTTCTCGGCCACAGATTAGGATCAGGCCAAGTAGCCCCAAGACAGGAGATCCTGACGAAGATCCAAGAGGCGCAAAGGCCGACAACAAAACGACAGGTCAGGTCCTTCCTGGGTTTGACTGGATTCTACAGGGAATTCATTCCTAACTACGCAAAGGTGGCGGCTCCTCTGACAGTGTTGACCCAAAAGGGAACTCGCAACGACGTGCAGTGGGACGACGAGCGGGAAAGGGCATTCAAGCGCCTGAATGAGGAATTGTGTAAACCTCCCATCCTCATGGCTCGCGACCTAGACAAGGAATTTGTGCTACGTACAGACGCCTCAAGCGTCAGTTTGGGAGCAGTTTTTCCACGGGAAAAGATAGCGTACTGCACCCTGTCGCGTACGCAAGCAGACGGTTAAGCAAGGCGGAAAAGAACTATGCCACGATTGAAAGGGAATGCCTGGCACTAGTTTGGGCCGTTGAAAAGTTTGCACTATATTTATATGGCAAGCATTTCCGAGTGCAAACTGACCACCAGCCGTTGGAATTCTTAAATAAGGCTAAACACACCAATAGTCGAGTCATGCGATGGAGCATGAAGATGCAAGACTATAGTTTTCACGTCGAATACATTAAGGGGAAGGATAATGTAGGTGCAGACTACTTAACTCGGATGTAAATAAGGAATTTAGACATAGAATGCCCTCGTGCCTATTTTTTTTTTTTCTTGCTCGATAGCGCATGGGGTAATACGGGGATCGAGTTACTGGTTTCGAAGTGCAGACATGGTTTTTTTTTTTTTGAGGGGGGAAAAGGGACGCAATTTAATGTGAATTGAGTTTTACTTCGAAGTTCTTCACGCATGACTTTTTGTTAGTACTTTGCGCGCGAGCGTGAAATGAAGGAGCTGTGTTACATCGGGGGCGGTCAAGAGTGTAGACTGGTGCTGCGCGTGCGAGTGCTACGGGAACGGATGCGGTCTTTGCCAAGGCTCGAGATCGCCCAGGCCAAGAGTGAGTGCTGCCCAAGTGCCGGCAGGAATTACCGTCAGTCCGAGACTTTAGCAATGAACTTCAAGATTGACGGTGTAGAAGAAGTTCAACGATGAACTTCTCAAAGTTGGGGGGCATTGTCACGGGTGTGGAGCTGGGAAGAAAAGAAGAAAAAGAAGAGAAGAGAAGAAGAAGAGGATCGCGAGAAACGAAGGGCAGGTGCGGGAGTTCTGACCCGTCGCTTCTTGAAGCCGGCAACGCTCCGGCTATTGAAGCTTCACAGAAACCGGCCCCGCTCCGGTTCCTGAGACCCCGGCCACGCTCCAGCTTCTGAAGCCTCACCGAAACCGGCCCCGCTCCGGTTCCCGAGAACCCGGCCACGCTCCGGCTTCTGAAGCCTCACCGTAACCGGCCCCGCTCCGGTTCCTGAGAGCCCAGCAACGCTCCGGTTCCTGAGAGCCCAGAAGCGCTACAGTTCCTCAAGCCACGAAGAACCCGGCAACGCTCCGATTCCTGAGGCCACGACGAGCCCCGCCACGCTCCTGAAGCCCCGCCACGTCAGGCGTGAGTCGAGCTTTTGTGGGGACTTGACCACGGGGACTCCGGTCTGCTTTGAACTTTTCCTTTTCTTTCTTTATTGTTGATAACTACCTCCTGATTTCCTTTCATTATATTATTACGTATGTACATGCCTTTGTCTCACCTGGTCTTGTCTCAATCATTTCGCGTGTCGAACCGGGCGAACGTGACACGCTTATACTGGATGCACCTATCAGGTGGCTGGGGCGAGAGTATATGAAAAAGGACTGAATAAATCTTTTAGCTGTGTTTGAGACTTCTCTTCCCTGTGTTTGTCCCTGCTATGTTGATTAATATTTTTCTGTGGTCTGCTAACCGTGTGCAATCTTGCATGTCGCTGTCTGTCGGCTGTTGTGCCAATCGGACGATTCTCGTCTGCAATCTGAAGCCATAGTGATTTTCAACTTTTTGCTTAGTTATGTTCGTTTAGTCAAATCTTTATAACCAAGCTCCGCACGCTTCATGTACCTCTGAGGTAAATTACAGAGCGATACGTTAAGAAACAGATTTATGCGATCCCTTCAAACAGCCATCAATCCCTTTGACTCGCGGTGTATACCGGGTTCGATCAGGAAAATAAAACCCGGCTGCAGAGCGTTGACACTAGGTGAAAATCTGACACTAGCGGTGATGATAAAATGCGCATTTTGAGAAAATGACGTTATCTGGATCATGCAAGGGAAGAGATTCTTTAAGTACAAACAATTTTCTTTCAGTGGCTCATTGCACAGGGTTCGTTCGAGAAAATTAAACCCAGCTTTGCAGAGCGTTGAACGACCGTGAGAATATATGCGACGCTAGCGGTGATTATTAGTAAATGCGAGAGGTTAAGAACGCAAAATTACCTAAATCAAAAAGCTAAAAAAAAAATTAATTCTCCAAGGGCCAATGTCTGCTTTAGTGAAACTTCATCAAAACAAATATTGTGAGCGCATCTGGTTTTCATATAAGGAAAATGAAGTCACAAGATGCAAGACAAGATTATATTTCTTGCTGACAAATTTGTTTCACAGAAATAAATGCCACAGTTGCTCACAATGTTATTCCTTCTTTTGACGAAATTAGACAAACATGGGCTTTTTATTATTATTTAAGTAACGTTTTTTCAACCTTTCGCATTTTCTCGTCACCGCTTGCGTCACATATATTCTCACGGAGGTTCGACGCTCTGCGAAGCCGGGTTTAATTTTCTCGATCAAACCCTCTACTAAAAAACAAAACACAAAAATTTGAATTTTTTTTTTTTTTTTAATTTGAGATTGTGATTCAGACGTGTTATCACTGATGCTTTCACAAAACAATGCCATCACCTAGTCTCGCCCTCGTGGTGACTGTACAGTGTGAAAAGAAATTAGATTTTCTTTAGAGCCCGTTGTAGGTCCATCTAGCCCCAGAAATGTTTTCCCCAGCTTTACACGCTGTGACATCGTGCGCAACTTTGTAAAATACGTGAGAGAATTTGAAACTAATTGAAATACAGAATTTGAACAGCGACCACGAAAGAAGAGTTCCTCAGTGATCGGCGTCGCGTCTGCTTGAATTTGTGACTATTAAACGTGGGAACTCGTTAAGTGGCGCTCGAGATTTTTTTATTTCGTCGTCAAATTTTCGATTTCGGTTTTGCAGTGTCTTGCAGTGCCTGAAAACGAAATAGCTAGGCATAAAATGCAAAACTGCTTCGTCTGACGGTAATCTAAAAAAATGGCGCTCCCAACCGCGATGTATTTATTCAGCCTGCGGTGATTAATGCCGTTAAATTTTTGTATCACAGGATATTCCTGTGCCTGTCTCCAAATGTCCGGAAAAATGTGAGTATTCTTTATGAGTATGACCTTCTAGAACTGACTCCACAGGGACTCTAAAAAAATATTACAAATCTTTTTGTTTTCCTTTTTGTACCACAAAAAATTAGCATCACCGAACGTCCATTATCCGGCCAAATGTAGCCCTAGCAATCCGAACCAGATACCAAAGTTTCTGAACTGACCGTTCTCTTAGTTAAAACCGCAGTGATGAAAATGCTGCGCCATTTGTGCCATGAACGAAAGTCTGCTACATCTTGTGAAAAAGCGTCATTTTCGCTCAAAGTTGCACCATAACTGCTCCAGGGTGGACTTAAAGCAAAATATAAAAAGAATTTAATATTGACGAAAATAATTCCTGGAGAAGGGGAACAAGAGGGACAAACACAAATCTCTACACGCAGCTAGGTGACTGGTGCGCGACCGAAAAAATCCGCCAGGTCCGGGTATCGAACCCGGGACCTCTCCATCATGGGTGGAAAATTTAATATTGGTCGGCCCTAGTTAGAAAAGTACAACGAAGTGTAGGGATTGTTCATCAATCGCTCTGGCGGGTTGATGCGCTGACCAGTTGATCGTCGACATCGTCTACATTACCAGACGATG